ACTGAAGATGACAGAAGTTCTGTTGAAACATGTCTTGTAAACTTAAAAAATTGGTCGTTTTCCTTAAAATTTTACCATTAAATACAAAGCATACTTTTTCGAAGCAACACCACATGTGCTGTGGTGAAATTAAAAGAAAAGACTGAACATGAACTGTCATACAGAGTTATAGTTTGTATGATTTTTTCAGAGGAGAAGTGGGAAGCGGCAGGTATGTGTGGCTCTGAAGGATATGATTTCTGATTTTGTCTGAAAAAGGGTATAGAGGTATAGAGATGGACCAACAAGGTCTGAAATAGCGTATGTTTTTCACTCTGGCTTGGCACTGGGTATTTTGTTAATACAAGCAACTATCTTTTCTTCCGCACCAACATTGGCAAATATGTAGCCCTTTTTCAAATGTTTACACAGATGGAACCTATTTCTGCTTAGTTGTCGTCATTTATTAGAGCCGTGGACTAATTTTGGATCATGTGTATTAAAGGCATCCCTGGTCGAGTGTCGATCGATACCCTCAGTGGATACTCCATAACATCTTGATGGTGTTGTTCAATGTCTCAATCGATACTTAGTCATCACAAGATTGACACTTGATCGACATCTTGATGGACACTTGCTCAACACTCAATTGACAGTTGGTCAATAGTTGGCAGAATGTCGACAGACTCATATATATTGATTGACACTCCATGTCTTATCTGTGAAAATAAGTCCACTGTCAACGGAGTGTTTACTGAGTATCAATGTAGATGTAGATCAAGTATTGATTGAGATGTTAATGACTGTCGATTGAGGGAAGGGGATTTTTTTGTCCTCAAGGAGTACAAAAGCAATTATATTATTGTTAACTTGATGATAACTAGACACTGATGAAAGAGAGCACTGTCATTCCTTTATGGTCAGCCTGGGATGGTCAGCCTTAAAATGTTTTGAGCATGGGGATATGGAATTTGGAAGATGAACTTGTGCTACCATCAATCATCTTAGCAGACCTCTCCAGAAACATTAGTTTACTTCAGTGGGTTCAAAAGGTCACATCTGTGGGTTGTGATTGGTAGATTTTGATCCCCTATGATTTATTTATTTCTT